TTTAACTTTTTGAATTCAAGAATTTTGAATCTATAAATATATAATTATAATAGAATTTTTGATAAAAAAGATATTAAGAAAAATATTGGTAAACATATTAATATTTCCCTTTGAAAACATTAATTGGGGGATTTGAATAAGATTAAAATTAGTTAGGTTTGTAGTCCTTTAGGCATACTGTATTTTCATTATAATATCCGATAAGCAAGATGCTAGTAAGATTAATGTCTCTATGTCCGGTAGACTCATTTTCTTTAGGCATAAGATCCATAGGCATAATGTCGGTAGGCAATATGTGCGGTTACGGAGAGTCACTGGCTGACCACCCTGTAAATATTGATGGGGAATGGAGGATATGAAATAAAAATATAGGAAAATTGTTGAGTGCGATATATATATATATATATATATATATATATATATATATATATATATATATATATATATATATATACTTGAAAAAAATTTTGGTGTACAAAATGTAATAGTAGCAAGGAATAAGCGTAATTTACAAGGCAATTTTAATGTAGATTTTAATAGCTAAAAAACAACCATTTTCGTCCAGGTCTTATCAATTTTATTCCTAGGCATTAAAATAAGAAACATGTAAATAAATTTGGAGATCACTAATGGGGAAATCTCCAAGGAAAAATAGAGACAAATAACATTCAGACCCAGCAAACAGTCTCTCTGTTCACAGAGGGAAGGCATTCGGGGTATGATATATAGTTTTCCTTGAACTTTTTTTTTTTTCTATTACTCTTCTTCAAATTAATTTACACGTTTCTTATTTTAATTACCAGGAATAGACTTGATAAGGCTGGGAGGAAACTGGTTGTTTTTAGCTATTAAAATCTACATTAACAAAAGCCTTGTAAATTACGGTTATTCCATGCTGATATATATATATATATATATATATATAAACATATGTTCTTCTTCAGCGGATGCAAGAAATAAATAGAGGGATGGTGGAAACTATTCAACATTAGTTATTTGAGGTAGGTAGGATCCGCTTACAGGTGGAGTTATTAGAAAAAACACTTGTTCCTTCTTTGCATTCTCGCCAAAAGGAAAATCGGTTCATCCTTTACAACTCTATCAGTCTAAACTGAGGTTTAATTTGATGTGACATGACAACATACTAAATGCATTAAATACTCACCATAACTCACCAGATGCGGCACAGTAAATTTGCTTCTAGGCTCTTACAAAATTCCACCATTCTTGGCAAATCTTCTATTATCACAATGGAGGATATTTAATAAAAAAAATAATAGGGGTATAAGCAACAAAAAAAAGTAAGTGAAATTGGCAGGACTATATAAACAAAACTCATATTATATCACAAACAAATTCCCGCATCTCCATTTCTTTCCGCGCAGGTGTTGTCATATCACCTCTAAAATAGTTATTATATATATATATATATATATATATATATATATATATATATATATATATATATATATATATATATATATATATATATATATATATATATATATATATATATATATATATATATATATATATATATATATATATATATATATATATAATATATATATATATATATATATATATATATATATATATATATATGAATATATATATATATATATGATATATATATATAGATAGATAGATAGATATGAGATTAATTACATTATCCATTATAAATTTTGAAGATAAGTTTAATAAAGTTGTATTTAAAATATATAACAAGTTATACATATATTTGTGAAATATATTAAACTTATCTTTAAAGCTAAAAATTGATAATTTACTTCATGTTAAATTTCTTTTATTCTTTAATATAAAATGTGTAATTATATTCAAATTGAAATTGAATATAATTTACCTGAATATGATTTATCGATAATCTTTATAATATATCCCATTTTTAAGCAGAATTTGTTATTTAGGTAACTAATTTATATATATATATATATATATATATATATATAATTATTTCTTTAATATAAACCTTCCAATTTTATGTCATGAGATCAATATCCGTGTTAATTTACAGAAACTTTATTTAATGTTAAACTTCAACCCTCCCCTCACCACCAAGTCAGGCCTTTCGTCTGACTGAAACATCTAAATGTTTAAAGGCTGTATTAATGTTTCGACTGATGTCAAAGTTAAATTCTATCTTCTAATTCCGATACGAACAGTCTGTACACCAGGGTTGAATCAGAATAAAGTAATTCTCGTTATTTGAAATAGATTTATGCCCGCAAATATGAGGTCATTTTGTAGTTTCCTGTAAACATATATATATATATATATATATATATATATATATATATATATATATATATATATATATATATATATAAAAGTTATGAAAAACTTTGCAATTTTATAAGGAGCTAATAGTTAAGATATTATTAGTTAAACGCTCTGTTAAATTACAAAACTTACACTACCCATCAAAAGTATGAATTTTCATTTCTTTTTCTTTTGAAGGTGCTATCTGACTATCCAGATTCCTTAAAAGGGCTCTGGTGAAATAAATTATTATAATGGAACCTTAAAAGTGGTCTGTTATTCTTTAATATATATATATATATATATATATATATATATATATATATATATATATATATATATATATATATGCTAGGATAGGGTATTTTAAATTCATCATGTCAAGCTTTAATATACGCCTCCTGAGAAAAAGGAAATAGGCAGAAAAGAAAATTCGGATATTTTTATTGATATTTTTTTGTTTTTCATTTGAATAAGCAGACCGCAACTGTGTCTGTCCTGTCAAACATCGTTTGTGTGTTAAATACTTTTGTGCATGCCTAGGATAATTCTAGTTTGTCTATGCGGATTTCGAATAATGTATAATCATTTGTGTGCGTATGTGCTGATTATCAGATTACAGGAATTAATTCATGAACCACAGGTAAAATAATCGTATGCTTACAAGCATATATATGTCGGCTTTATGAAGGCAGCAGCTTGTTTGATCAATATTCAATCTAATAGACCATCTTCAGGACATATTCATGAAACATAATTTAAACGGAACGCTGATCTTATAAAAGATTTCAGTTATCTGTTTGGATTGGTATTGCTTTTAAGTCCATCGTCTTTTTCATGTTGAATTATATATAGTGTAATGTTAATTATGTTTTATGAGTATGCTCTGAAGATGGTCTATTAGACCGAAACGTCCGACGTTGACATTAAACATTAAAACAGCATAATCGCATATTAGGATTTTTGTTTGTTTTTTCAGTATATTTTTTTCATATATATATATATATATATATATATATATATATATATATATATATATATATATATATTATATATATTGATGCATTTTCAAATTACATAGACAAATTTTGTCTATTTTTTTTAAGTAAATTCCTTTCATATTGTCTTATAAGCTCAATAACATTATCATTGAAGGACGAAATTAAATCGCCATATTGATACATGTTTAAATCCAATCTAAGCTTTCGGCTTACATAAGCCATTATCAAAGATGACAGTTACCTTTCAATATATCAACCAATACACGGAACAATAATAATAGTCTCTTTTTGTTGTGGTTATGTGTGACGTCACTTGCTGCGACGCGATTTTCGCTTCCGCGTCTCGTATACACGAGTTAGACGTTGCTTTGACATTGTTCATGCAGCAAAAACGGCTTATTGGATTTAAATATATATCAATATGATGATTTCCTTTCGTCCTTCAATGATAATGTTATTAAGCTATTCAGACAATATGAAAGAACCTTAAACTAAATAAACAAAACTTGTCTATATTATTTAATGAAACATGCATCAGTGAAAAATTGCTGCCTATATATATATATATATATATATATATATATATATATTTTATTCAATTATTATATACTATATACGGATCATTTTTTCCAAATTTAATCGATACTTCATGTGATGTATCGATAGGTTTCACTTCTGTATTTCAACCTTTGATCTTGTTCGTCATTTGGTCATAAAAAAATATGACAGATTCCCTATAAAGAGAAAAAATAGAATATCTTTCTTAGGTTTCCATTTTCATAATCACAATGTTCTATTTTTTATTCACTTTTTATAATTTTTCTTTCGAGCGACCTAAAGTTACCGCCGTCTCTTCGTTGTATTCCCTACTCAAAAATTTTTAATATTCTCCAAAGAAAATAAAGATTCTGTGACAGGATTAAAATCAGTAAAGTTTGGGCAATAACTTTTTATCGCTTTTCTCCTCCTGTTACTTTTATGTACTTCGTGTAAGTCAATATATTTTAAATGTAAGGCATCTATAAAAATGTCAATATGAAAAATGCGTGTAGATATTATTTTATATGCCAAGCCTGTTGGAATACAAATAGACTAAATAAAAGATGAAGATAGAAAGATGAAAAATCGACTTTTATTAGTCAGTCTTTCTGTTTACAGCGTTCAACATCGATAGAGAGACATTTAAATAATAAGAATACCCAGGTACCTCAAAACTTAAAAACGATGTCACGACAATGTAGCCTTCAGAACATATTTTGAGAAATATATAAGAGGTATGACCTCGGCAGCTCTGTGGCACAGACATTTACCAGTGTCAGTAGCTGAGAAAAACCGAGTGGTATTCACGTGAGTTACAAATCTCTTGACTAACAAGATATTCAAGATCAGTAGTCCTGATATCAAGCGTGCAAGAGAGCAATCATGCATTGATCCTGATAGACCTTGCGAAACCTTCCATGATGAACCTCGTGATGGCTTTAATTGAGTCATTTGTTTTATAGGTTTATTAACCGTTTGCTTAAAACTGTAAGGAACTTTTAAAGATAATAATGTTTTTTCTGATACAATTCTTCCTATTTAACCCATAGATAGGGAAAGAAGTGGTGGATACATATATTTCCCAGGGGTATTTGCGCTTAAATGAATACGAAGAACATGATAAGAATTGGAAACTGGCTATTTCGACTCGTATCCATAGCACCCCCCCCATATCCAAGTTTGCAGCTCCTTATATTCCAAAGCGGTCACCCATATAAGTACTGACCAGGCTCGACGTTGCTTAAGTTTGGAGATCTTCTGAGAACCGATGATTCAACGTGATATGTCTGTAAGCCTATCGTGATGGCGGATCAGGGGAAAATTCAGAAATTCCAACAAGAATCAGACGAGTCTAGCAAGCAACAACGAAAGTAAATGATACAAATAACCAGAGCATTAGCTACCCTGCATCAGATCTTAATTATCCCTTTTTGTGGTTGGCTTACTCGGGGATATTTCGGGAAACCATCTAGCTACGCAGGACGCCGTAATGTTACCTGACATCATAGAAAATGTAGAGCTTTTTGTTTCTTTTTTTTTTTTTAAGCGTTACACCCCAAGCAAGGTGGGAAGCCACTAGCATGCAAGGGGTTACAGAGAGTTGGAGCGAGAGCAAAGAGGAGTGATAGAGGAAAGAATGAAGAGAAGGATAGGGGATAGATCAAGGCAGGTGACGACGTCGATTAACATTACATTTGAATAGTTGGAGATTATAGCTATCAGGGAAACAGGAAAAGGGGAGGGAGTTCCACAGGCGAGAAGTGCGAGACATGAAGCTAATGTAGTAGAAGAGACGGCTACATTTAACAGTTTCGCCAGTGAAAGGGTGTGAGCGAGATGCCAGACTAGCTGAACGCTTAAATTCATGAAGTCTGGGACCAACGAAAGCATCTCATCAGAGCAGTTACCATGAAAGTAAATGTAAAAAAAGACAGAGGGAAACGACAGCACGTCCATGAGGGAGAGCTTTAAATCAGCTTACGTGATTGTGAAGTTTTTTTTTGTTTCTAAGCTGTGCGTAGCAGATGAAATAGAATAATTCTCACTCTGCAGAAACCTCCAAGAGTCGTCGGTGGCACCACATCCTGTAATAATAATAATAATAATAATAATGATAATAAAGTTAACCGCCCAGACATTGTTATTAGATATCGCACACAAAAAGACGCCTCCTTGTTAATATGGCATTCCCTGCAGACTGCAATGTATCTTTGAAGATCTTCAAAAAGCTATCAAAATACAAGGACCTTGAAATCGAAATATCAAAGATGCGGCACATGGGAAGTTCTACAATACCTGTTGTAGTTGGAACCCTCCGATTGGTTGGAAGATATTCCAGTAGACTAATTGAGGGGATTACTGGAAGCCCATGCCTTAAAGAAATTCAAAAAGATTGTTCTCACGAGTACAGACCACACCTTACGAAGGTTTTATCTATGTAAATGATGTGTGTGTGTGTGTGTGTGTGTGTGTGTGTGTGTGTGCGCGTGCATGTTTTTATGTAATTGGTGAGTGGAAAATATCATGATGCAATTTTTCTGGGTGGTACCCGGAGAGAAATTTGTACACATCAGAAATCAAATGAAATAAAATAATAATAGTAATAATAATAACAACAACAACAGCAGCAGCAACAACAACAACAACAACAACTATATTAATAATAATAATAATAATAATAATGAAATAAAACATTTTGTGACATCTAATGAAAAGGTGTCTAGGTTTTGGGTATTTGCAGTGCAAATAGATAGAATAATAAAAATCAATAAGCCCAATATAATTTGCAGAAAAAAATGCTTACGGCTTGAACTAAGAATCTGTTATGATGCGATTATTTCTGTCATAATGTTCAACAATTAAATTAACCAAATAGTCTAGAAACTAGAATTCACATGCAACATCTCAAAACAGAAATTCAGAATTCTTGTGTGTACAATAGGAACCATATCAAACATATTAAAAATATTTTTTTCTCAAAAACCTGGTTAACCGATTTGGCTGAAATTCAAAAGACTGCAGACTGCGCGTATTTAGTCCCGACAACATATGGACCTATACTACTAGAATTTACATGGGCATTCTCATAAATCCACAGAACACTACACATTCAGCATTCATATTTTACAGGTTCTTCCTTGACTATCTGTAATTATAGATCTACGATATAATTTTAGCTTTTCACACTCATCAGTTAATCTTTTTGAATGTAGTAATTTTAACTGGTTGTTATCTGTGAAGGCAGATATACATTTTAGTTAATACTTCAGCTGCTAGACACATTTCAACGAGATTTAAAAAAAGTGATACAATGAATGTCAGCTATACATCAACACATCTATATCAGCAATCATGAGCTCTCGACTTAAAGTCTCCACATCTTTCTGGTTGAAACATGCAGGGAACTAGAGAAAAATTCAGATTAAAAATACATCGTGCGATGTGACAATGCTTTCCATATTCATCTTTTATTTCACGCATGCGCATTGTTTTTTCTATTGATTTTGTCGATTGAACACTATAATAGGGTCAGTGGGATACCAACTGTGAGAAAAAAAAAGCACTATGTCGCAAATCACTCCGCCACACATCTGGAAACAGAATGCTGTACTGCGTGGCATTTGCGTCGGAAAGGTCAATAGGAACATTTCAGAGTGTTTTGGTGTCAATCTGAGGAGAGTGTAGAGGATTCGGACAGAGTTGGATGAGTTTAATAGTGATTACGAAGATGTTTGGAGTGTGGCACCATGCATAAGTTGGCGGGCTGAAAAGAAATATTCATAAATATATGATTTGTTTTTTACGGTTTGTCAACCATTTGATAATTATTTAGAGCTGGAAAATATTTGGGTTTTGAGAATAATTTTTAATTGCGTTCAAGCGATCTGGGAGAAAAGAAAAGAAGAAGAAAAAAGAAAGAAAAAAGAAAAATATAATACGAAAACCAGGTCATAAGCGAATAAACACACGCTCGATTGATACATAACAGATGTTGGAAGATCCCGGTCACACCTGACCTACTTCCGTGTCCACGAAAAATGGAAGTTTGTTATCAATTTGGTTGAAGAAATAAAGTTTAGAGACAATGGGAAAAATATGATAGGTAACAGGTGGGAAGTTTATCTAAGGATATGCAGGCAAACCATTAATACGAAAAAACCCAGACCATTCCAGAATTGAAAATAAAGCCACACAAGAATGATGTTGGCTGAAAATGCTTTTTTTGAGATAATTAAGATTTTTGTTATCAAGCTCCGAGCGAAAGAAAAAGTGAAATATTTTATTAGTTCGCGAAAAACGCCACCCAGTCTGGGAAATCCCTTTCTTAGATCGTATCCAATTAGCGATAAACTGTTTAACAAATACCGCGTGTAAAAAGAAACCGAGAGCGTCATTTCGGTCACGTACGAAAAGGGCAATTTAAATTTTTGTTTTTTAAGCAATGTGTTTCTTCCCCCAGAACAAAGCCACAGATTGTCCACGCCCGATTAAAGACGTCACGAAGGAAGGAGGAAAGATACCGACCAGAGCCTCATTGGCCGAAGGCGGTCACATGATACATGAGGGAGGAGGAGAGACACCCGACCAGGACCCCATTGGCCGAGAGCGGTCACATGACGTGCGAGAGCGGAGGAAAGATGCCCGACCAGGACCCCATTGGCCGAGAGCGGTCACATGACATACGAAGGAGCGGGGAAGCGGGTATACGCCCCCAGAGGCACAGAAAGGGAGTAGGAGTGAAAGTAAGTTACCAAAAATGGAAAATCCCTAATCAGAAATAAGAAGGGTGGATACGTATTTAGAATTATCAAGAAAACCCTGGCGCCGACAGACCCACCCCAGTTTTTGATTGCATCAATAAAAGCGGGAGCCCAACCGACAGAAATCAGAGTTGCGCCGCGGACGGCGAGGGAGTTTGAGCTCGGACGGCGGGCCCGGTTCATTCGCCTCTTTGCGGGCAAGAAAGGCCGGTCCGTTTGGCCTAAGAAGAGAAGTTCGTCCAACCCAAGCCGAAGGGAATAAGCTCGTCCAACCCAAGCCGAAGAGAAGAAGTTAATTCGCGCACTGACGGCGGAGATGAGTGAACAATAATTCAGACTCTGAAGAGAGAGTTAGTTGCAGCCACGGTCGGCGAGAGAGATCAGCCGTGAACGACAGGTAGATATCAGCGCCCAGTGTTGAAACCAAACCACACCCCGAAATGCAAATTTCTAGAGAGCAGGCAACTCGAAGCCTTAAAGTTGCTTGGTAGAAGCGTGGTGCCCAAGTCCACAGAACGGGTCGGGAGGTAGGAATAATCTTGTGTAACGAGCAATTAGATATAAAAAGTTGTTACCTTTTTCTTCAATATTTTTGACCTTGCTAGTTTTTATTTTTCTTGTGTGTTATCACCCCCGGCCCAATCCCTGTTTGATCCCGTCTGTCTGAGATCTAATCACAACGTGGGTAGGCAGACCGGAGATCAGTGCAGTTACCCTGGTAACCAGGCGTTGGAAGCGGGTTGGGAACGACGAGGCTGGTATTCATCTAACCAAAGGGTTAGAACGTCACACTTGGAGCAGCGAGGAGCGAACAGCTGGCGTCGCGAACGGGATCGAACGACACAGTCGACGCTGCGACCAGAGGGGACGACGTCACAGGAGTGATCACTAGCGATTGTGACGTTATGCTTACATTCTTCATCCTACAAGGCTTTAAGCACAACTCGGATGTCTACATGAAGTGACTTGTGGATGAAATGCTGCTCTGAGAAGGTGTCTGATGGGTGACCCTATGTATGACAACAGGAACCTTAACCATGCCACAGAAGCAGGAGTATCCATATATAATTTCACATCACCCCTTGCATCTGGCCACCTAACTCCTCAAAATTCAACACCATGATAATTATGTGTAGAGTGTTGTTAAGTGAGAGACCACGGAAAGTCCTTGTTACACCAAAGATTAAATAAAGACAAGGATTAAGGTAGCAGCCACCAGCTTAAAAAGGAGACCGTCCAGAACAGTTGCAGGAGATTCCGGAGTCCTTTGAAGACTATAGTTGAAGCCAATGGCGAATATATTGAATTAATTATATTAAATTAGTTTATTCTTTTGTATTTCAAGATATTTTTGAGTAATTGTGGTAAATATAGCTGTTGAAATGAGATGTTAGTGTTATTTTCATTTTTGCGTAATTTAGACAACATAAACTTGGAAACTTTATACTTTTATTCTCTTCTATGTACTATGTCCTTTCAGAACATCGACGGGCGTGGCTCTCCACAGTTTCCTGTCCGTTGTAGCT